TTCTCCCTAAAACCATACCATGAACAGGGCTCCAGGATTATAACTGGATTATAGCTCTTAAAGAGAGCTGTAAAACACAGACTGTTTCAAGAAGGAGTTTCTAGGGAAACCCAAAGACAACAGTGGAGACAAAAACAAAGGTACCAAAGGAAATTGGAGCCTCTGACACCTACAGCAGACATTAAACAAGGTCTAGCTGCTAGCCAGATCAATGTGAATGCTCACACTACAGGTCTGTTTACCTCAGTTCCTGTTACCCAATATAGCATGTCCAGCTTTCAATAAAAAATTACAAGAATGCTAAGAGGCAGGGAAATGTCTGAAGAGAAAGCAAGTATCAGAACCAGACTCAGATATTGCAGATTTTAAGAGTTATCAGACAGGAAATTTATCTATGATTAATATGCTAAGATTTCTGATGGAAAAATGACAACATGCAAAAATCAGATGAGTAATGTAAACAAAAGATGGAAACTCTAAGAATCAAAAAAGTGCTAAAAAAGATATTGTAATAGAAAGGAATGAATATCTTTAATGGGTTCATCACATCAGTAGACTGAACACAACTAAGGAAAGAATCATTGAGCTTTAAGAAATGTCCACAGAGTCCTGGCCGGTTTGGCTCAGCGTTTAGAGCGTTGGCCTGCGGTCCGGAGAGACCCGGGTTCAGTTCCCACTAAGGGCATGTACCTCGGTTGCAGTTTGTCCCTGGCCCTGGTTGGTCGTGCAGGTGGCAGCCACTCGATGTGTTCCTTTCACGTCGATGTTTCTCTCTCTCTCTCTCTTCCTCTTTCTCCCTCCCACTCTATCTGAACAAAAAACGGAAAAATGTCCTCGAGTGAGGATTAAAAAAAAGAAGAAATGTCCATAGAAACATCCCAAACTGAAATTTAAAAAGGAAGGGGAGTGGGGTGTACAGGATACCCAAGAACTGTGAGACAATTACAAAACATGTAGCATATGTGTATTGGGATTACCAAGTAGAGTGGATGGGAGGCAAAAGATCAGAGCCAGCCCTGGCCGGGTAATTCAGTTGGTTAGAGCATCGTCCCAATACCCCAAGGTTTCAGATTTGATCTCTGGGTCAGGACACATACAGGAAGCAACCAATGAATGCATAAATAAGTGGACAACAAATTGATGTTTTTTTCTATATCAATAATTAAAATTTTTCTTTATTAATATTAGAAAGAGGGAGAGGGAGAGAGAGAGACACCAGTGAGAGAGAACATTGATTGGCTCCCCACTGGGGATTTTGCCGACAACCTGGGCATGTGCCCTGACCAGGAATCAAACTGGCAACCTCTTGGTACACGGGTCGATGTTCAACTACTGAGCCACACCAGCCAGGCTATAAATAATTTTTTTGAAAAAAGATCAGATGCCCAGCCGGTGTGGCTCAGTGGTTGAGCATCGACCCATGCACCAAGAGGTCGCCGGTTGGATTCCTAGTCAGGGCACATGCCCAGGTTGTGGACCACATTCCCAGTGGGGGGCATGTAGGAGGCGGCCAATTGATGTTCTCTCTTATCGATGTTTCTATCTCTCCCTCTCCCTCTCCCTCTCCCTCTCTAATATCAATACAGAAAAAAAAATAATAATAAAAACTGATTTAAAAAAAGACCAGAGCCCTGGCCAGTGTGGCTCAGTTGGTTGGGCGTCATCCCGTGCACCAAAGCATTGCAGGTTCGGTTCCCTGTCGGGCACATGCCCAGGTAGGGGGTGTGAAGGAAGCAGCCAATCAATGTTCCACTCTCATGTCGATGCTTCTCTTTCTCTCTCCCTCTCCCTTCCTCTGTCTGTAAAAGTCAATATAAAAGATTAGAGCCAGAATATTGCTAACTCCAGAAATTTTGCAATAAAGGGAATCAGAGAAAGAGGCTATTACAGGAGGGGGCAAACGGGGTAGTTTTGTTTTTAAAGCTTGTTTTGTATGCTCATAGGAGTGATCCAGGAAAGAACAATGTGATACTGCAGGTGGGAGAGGACAGTCATGCTGGAGCAGTGCCTTCAAGGAGGCAAAAGAAGATGGGATCTAGTGCATAAGTAGAGGGACTGGCCAAGGAGCAAGTAACAGGAAGAAGGCAGAGTATGAGCGCAGGGCTGGCAGGTGGGTGTGTGTGGTGAGGAGAGCTTGTTCTTTCCTGATTACTTCTACTTTCAAGGTCATCAGCTGCAAAAAAAATAGCTGAGGGAAGAGAGATTGGGGCAGGAGACCATATGAACTAATCTTTGAGGAGAGTGAATGAACTATGGTGTGATTGCCAGCTGGTGTTAAGGGTACCCTTGAGGTCTAAATTGCTGTTGTTTTACCTACCCATTATTACAGAACTCAGCATTCTGTCACAATATCTTATTGGAAACTTCTGCATGCTTCACTAGCATCTCATCACAGTAAGGTTTTGGTTCCAGGCAAGAGGCATCAAATTTGCAGTTAGATCTCCTCAGTAGGCCAATTGGCTAATCCATTAGCCTAAGCTAGTTATTGTATATGATCACTACTCTTGGGGGTAACGATCAGGCTTACAACAAATAATGGGTGCCATCTAGAAATCAAGGCACTGATAGGGACAGAATAGAGCATTAGTAGGATCTGCTCTCATGAGGCTTACATTTAGTGGGAAACAAAATCATGCCAGGTGGTAAAGGCTCTGAGAAAATAGAGCAGGGTAAGGGGGAGAGGGAGTCAGGACTGCTACTTTCTGTTGGAGGGCCAGGGAAGATTTCTCTTGATAAATGACATTTTAGCAGAGATCTGAGGAAGTTAGGGAGTAAGCCATAGAGGGCCAGGCTCTTGTATCCATCTCTACTTTATAAATAGACAAATTTAATAGAAGAGGTGATACATTTATGTCAACATGCTGCCACTTATAACTTTAAACATTCTATCCACGCTTCCTGAAACACAACTCTCCACGTATACGCTTTTTTTCCTTTTTGAGTGTCAGACTTGCTGTTTCAGGCTCAACTTTTTCTACTTAGCTATATTTACTTTTTTTTTTTTATTATTGACCAAATTGTCACAACCTGGCCATTGGGAGCCCCATTTAACAGGCTGCTTTGTCCTCTCAATACTGCCTCATTTTTTAAAGCACCTTTGTTTTTTGGCAACAAATATTCCAGGCCCACTGTAATCCCTGCCCAAAACATGTCATTAGTTTCTGTCCAAGAAGCCCTGTGTCGTACCAGAGGCCCAGGCTGGCCCAGGCTCCACAAAGGAACTGGTTGTAACAGGATGACTCTGTTAAGCCACCAGGGAAACACAGGCCTGGGAAAGGCAGATCTTTTTTTTTTTTTTTTTAATATTTTTTCTTTATTGATTTTAGAGAGGGAGAGGGAGAGAGAAACATTGATGAGAGAGAACAATGACTGGCTGCCTCCTGCACGACATCCACTGAGGATTGGGCCCACAACCTGGCCATGTGCCCTGACCGGGAATCGAACCAGTGACCTCTTGGTGCATGGGTCGACACTCAACCAGTGAGCCACACCGGCTGGGCAAGACAGATCTTTTTAAGGTCCTGAGTTCACACAGACATCTCCAGTTTGGCTGTCATCACTAAATCTTTTTTCATTTCATTCTAATGTAATTTTTTCTGTAACATACCTACTTAAAAAGTAATCCCTTTTTTACTGGATAAACAAGATGGCATATTCATATAATGGAATATCTTCAGCAATAAAAAGGAATGGATTACTGCTGCATGTTATACAAACCTCAAAAACATGCTTAGTGAAAGAAGCCAAACCCCAAAGATGTCATGCTGTATGAGTTATCTGTATGAAATGTCCAGAAAAGGTAAATCTGTAGACAAACTCACTAGTGGCCACTTGGGCTGGGGTAGGAGCAGGGAGCTTTGGGGGAGATAGAAATGGATGGTGGTGAGAACTTGCACAACTCCATACATAGACTTAATAAAAATCATTGAATTTATATTTAAAATAGGTGAATTTATGGACACATGAATTGTATGTCAATATAATATAAAAAGTTAAACCCCTCTTCTTCTACTTGTACTTCAATTGGTTATACTGACCCAAGACGTTCCATCTATTGATTTTTTTTTGTGTTTTTTTTTTATCCTCACCCGAGGACATTTTTCGATATTTTGTTCAGATAGAATGAGAGGGGGAGAGAGAGAGAGAGAGAAACATCGACGTGAGAGCAACACATCGAGTGGTTGCCACCCACACGACCCAACCAGGGCTGGGGACAAACTGCAACCAAGGTACGTGCCCTTAGCGGGAACTGAACCCGGGTCTCTCCGGACCACAGGCCAACGCTCTAACCGCTGAGCCAAACCGGCCAGGGCCATCTATTGATTTTTAATTAAAAAACAAAAACAAAACTAAACTGCCCAGCCGGTGTGGCTCAGTGGTTGAGTATCGACCTATGCACCAAGAAGAGGTCGCTGGTTTGATTCCCGGTCAGGGCACATGCCCAGGTTGTGGGCCAGACCCCCAGTGGGGGGCATACAGGAGGCGGCCAACTGATGTTCTCTCTCATCAATGTTTCTATCTCTCTCCCCCTCTCCCTTCCTCACTCTCTAAAAATCAATAAAGAAAAAAAAAATTAAAAAACAAAAACAAAAAAACTAAACCTATTTTCCATACCATGCAGTTTTTATATCCCTCCTGGTCACAGATCTGCCTTACTCTTTTTAACAGCTGTCTTTGTTTGGATCCCAAGTGTAGCTAGAACATGACAATTTATTGCCCAACTGTTCATTCCTGCCACTTTCCAAGCAGGTGCTTCCCTTTTCTGGAATATTTTTTCTTCCCCAGTAAACGAAAAAAGATAAACAGTTGCTATGATTGTGCCTTCCTGCAGAGCTGTTGTGAGGAGTGAGTGCAAAGCTTTGTTCACCAGCTGTTTTCAAAATATATATGAATCCAGACCATCTTCTAATTTTGGGGGGTTTCGGGGAGTGGAAGTCCACAAATGACAAACTTGAAAATATTGAATTTAATAGAAAATATCACATTGTAAACAAGCCCATTGATCTATCAGCTCAAAACAGAATGACAACATAACCACGTACAAAAGTTAAATACAAGATACTGGTACCAAACACAGCACTTAGGCCTGAGCCAGGCAGGCTCTGAAAGGTCTTCACCAGAAGTAGAGGCAGCAGCAGCTTGAAACAGGCACAAAGACAAGGAGGAGGAGGCTTAAGAGAGTAAAAGAAGGCAGAGCAGTAGATTCATCTTGTGACAAGGGTGAAGGAAAGGGGACAAAGGTTCTATTTCCTACTGCTCTGGAACATCAGAGCACACCACAGCCCCTGAGCGGGTTAGGAGGGCACGGTACTAGGTGGGGAGGGGCAACTGTAGAAGATCTGTAGTCGTCTTGGGCTCAGCTCCCAGGGAAGCAGGAGAGCATGCCTCTCGTGTTGTGACTAACTCATAATTGAGCTGCTTGCCCCAGCCCCCAGCCCCTTCTTGGCTGAACACCACATTGAAAGCATGCCAGTGTCTGTCGCCCCAGTGGACCTCCTACTTATTAATGAGTATGTAAAATGAGGGAGCCACAGTGAGACCTCAGAACAAAAACACAGGGCCCTGGTGGGAAAAGGGTTTCCACCTTCCCCTGGTGCTGGAGGGTCCCTGAGGGAGAGGAGTTTGACGTTGTTGGGCCCCTGGAGGCTCTAAGGTTATTGGCACAGCCTTCTGTTTAGCCCTACTCTCTCAAATCCCCCCAAGGAGTCCTCAGAGTTCATGGAAAGGCCAACTGAGAGAGAAAGAAAGGGGAGAAAAAAAAAAAAAACGAGGAAAGAAAGGGGCAGTTTTCTTTCCATGGCACTTGTTACTGACCAGAGGGACTGCCTCATTATGCTGATTTTAGACATTGAGAATTTGTCCCTTCATCTGGAACAGCGATTCTCAAATAAGGGGCAGGCCTGCTCAGGAGGGGCTCGCAAGCCTCTACTAAGAGGTCTTGTCCAATACAACAAGCCCCTATTTCCCCAACTGAGAATCTGCACATAATGACAGAAATTCCTGACAGGAGAGTGTTGTACATGTGAAGTGTCAGAGGCAGAATAAAACGCTAAAAACCCCTAATCTGTGTGAGGCAGACATCAGAATTATGGATTGATTTTTTTTTTTTCTGATTAAGAATAAGTTACAAATAAGTCATTTCTCCTGTAGCTAAACTCCACGACTAGGCTCCACACTGCAGAGCCCAGATCAGTAAGCACACCCATTTATCCAGAGTAATCATGCTGGATTAAAGAAATACTGTTCTGTCCTCCTAAAGACAATTCCAGGAAGACCTGCCTGGGTCAGCGAGGTACTGACAGGGTCAGCACAGGCTAATCACTGTATGGTTTCTTAGAAGACTGGCTTTTCTCTGTTTCTTTCTCTTTGATACTGTACAAGGGGTCCACCAACTTGTTATGAACAAGCATTAAACCTACAAAAAATTAAAAACAAAAAGTGGTTAATGCAGGTAGAGGCAGAGTTCCACAACTGTCAACAGTAATGCCCAGAAGCTCTCAAAGTGTGTCCCAGAACTGATATCCATCATGTGTTCTCTCTGGCTCCAAATGATAAAACACCAAGAACAGAAAAAAATTTGTTATTCCCAGTGAATGCTGGAATCCACAGGGCTTTTGTAAATGGAATCTCTAGGAGAGTTGGCTGTTAAAAGGAGACTCTTTTCAGCAAAGAACAAATTCCTAATTTGCCTGCTCAAGTAAATGAGGATTGTCACACAAGTTTGCTTAAAGCAGTGTCCTTTTGAAGGAGAACAAAAGACCCTCAGGACAGTTCAGGGCCTTTTCTAGAGAGGAAAGGCTTGTGTGAGAACTGGGAAGAGAAACAGCCTGAGGCTCAGTGGTGCTGCAAGGGCCACCACATAGCCCTTGGACTACAACTCTTCATCTTTCCTCGTCCTCAGAGCATATGGTCTCCAGAAATGGGCCCTCGCAGTTATGGGTGGAAGAGAAATGACTGTGTATTCTGAGACAGGGTTTGATTTTCATTCAAATCAGAGTTGATGATTAAAATGCCCAGAGCATGAACACTACAGCCACTCCCCACTCCTGGCACATCCTGAACTCGGCCACCTACTCCCAGCCCCAGCCCCCCTCACCTTTGAAGTACTTCACGGTCTTCACTTTCAGCTCCAGGGTGGCGTCCTCATCGCACACGAACACCGTGCGGGGATGCTGCTGGAAGGCAGACACGGTCCACATGTGGTTCACTCCCTCCTCGATGGCTTTGTACAGAGCAAACGCCTTGTGAGCACCTGTGATGAGGATCATCACCTGGGGACCAGAGAACAAGCCCGTGACGGAGAAGGAGCAGTGAAACCGGAGGTCCAGCGCCAGAACTCTAGCGTGGCCGCCCCGAACAGCTATACGGACTACTGTGCTGTATGCCATCGCAAGTCGTTAGCATGCAACACACTCCGTGCTCTGGGCTCCCCATGCATTGTCACACAAATAGCCTGAGCAGGGAGCATCATTATCCCCATGTTCTATGATGAGGAAATGGGCTGGGGTTGGGGGCCAGGGTTAAGTAACTTGCCCCAGGTCATTTCAGACCCTAAGTGCATATTCTTGACCATCACTCCATAGTGCCTCCTGGTACCTTCGATGGTGACTTTGCAAGTGCCATATAAAGGCCCGCCTCTTATCCCAACAGTTCTGATACTGGGTTCCAGGAGGTCCTAGGATGGGTGAGTGTTCACAATCACAAACAAAAAGATGGGTCCCAATCTGCCAGGGGGCCTTAAAAGCAATGTTGACAGTCCCCTGCATGGTAAGGTCGAATCCCACCAAGGCTGCCCCTTAATCTGGTCACTTTCAGTTCTGAGTGTTAGACCTACTAATGTGACTTGGGGTGATGTTTTTTGATTTAAATCAAACAAGGGCACAGATTCCCATCAACAGTTAAAATACCAAGAAAGTAAGTGCTGGACAGCGATGATAAAGAACTCTGCTCTATGGGTTTCCTTCCACTGAAACTCACTTGCACCATGGAGTTGTGACCAGGATTTACTGTTCCTTTCTTAAAAGGTGAGACAACAGAAACAGAGAGAGAATATGACTCTTTGTTCAGGACCCCAGGTCTAATTTTAAAAGAGAGAATTTCCAGATACCCAGCCCAGGCTCTCACATTAGGGTACACCAACCTGTCAGGGAGGGTTTACAAGCTGCAAGGCCACGGACAGCCGAGTAGCCGCCCTCAGCACTGATTCAAGGCTGCTCCACAGAACCCGGTTGCCATCGCACATTTCACAAAAGTTCACTTTAGACTTAGATGTTTATTTATAGACTTGGGCAAAGCTTAAAGCTAAAATGTCTGTAGCTGCTTCCCACTAAATATACCCCAGGAAGAAAAAGCTTCTAAAATTCTAGTGAAAGACAGTAGGAAATTGGAACTTCAAATGTTAGCCAACTTCCTAGGGTAAAACTTACCAAATTCCGTTTAGGCCACTTAGATTTCAATCACTTTTCCGCATGTATGAGTCCCTGAACACAGGGCTCTAACCACAAACATCCTGGAGCTGCAGGAGCTCCCTTCAAACAGTGACCTCCCCCAATCGCAGGAAACTAGAGGCTTCCCCTTAGTACCTGGGCAGGTGCAAATTCATATTCGGACATCAGTGGTTTAGGGCTCCTCTGCCTGAGAGAAGCTCAGAAAGGGCACACAAGCAGGGGCCAGGGCGCCTACGGTCTCCTGGGCAGTCGGTGCTCAAAGGAGTCACCTCGCACTGGGAACAATGGTTTCCTCCAAAGAGGAAGGAGGAACAATGATAGGATCAGTTGGGATTTTATCCTTATTTATAATGTCTTCATCTTTAATACAAAGGTGTTCAGGTGGTACCTATACATTTAAAATATTTTAACAAAGGACCAGTCCAACCCTCCACTGAAGGCCTGTGGACCCCTTGCCCCTTACCTCTCTAGCATCCATGACAGTGCCCACACCCACAGTCAGGGCCATGGTGGGCACCTTGGCGAGATCTCCATCAAAGAACCTAGCATTGGCCAGGATGGTGTCCATGGCCAGTGTCTTCACCCGGGTCCTGGACACCAGACTGGAGCCCGGCTCATTGAAGGCAATGTGTCCGTCAGGGCCAATGCCTGCCGGAGAAACAACAGGGCAGCCCTATCAGTGCCAGGGACCCAAGACTGCAAGGGATGCTCTCTCCTCCCCACCTAGGGTCTGCAAAACTTGAAAACCATGTCTCTTTTCTCATTCACCCCTGGGCAGATACACTAAGCATATAATCTTCCCCTCTCCCCTCTTCCTCCCATTTCTTTCTGGGATACACACAGCCATTAACTTGCTACCATCCTCAAAAAGCTAAGTAATGGGTACTCCAAATAGCTTCTACCCCTCAGATCATCAAAGTGTAACCTCTCTCTCTCTCCTGCAAATAGTCAGGGGCCCTGCTACTGGGATAGAGTCACAGTGAATAAAACACACACAGCAGCTGCCAAGTTTATACAGTCTCAGAACATGAGTGTTCCTGGCCTCTCCCTCCCCATCTTGGTAAAGGCAAATCTAGAGAAGTAAAAGGCATCCGACTTCACACCCCTGTGGGTGATTCTAGGACTGGCAGCAGATGGAAATTAAGAAGGCAGCCCAGGGTAGAAACAAGGGCACAAACCCGAGAGGGGGACCCCCTAAGTGCCTGCCTTGTCTCCACTACTCTGGCCAGCTACCCTTGGCAAATCACACAACTTCCCTGGAGTTTACTTGGCTGTCTATAGCGTGCAGAGGCTGTGTGGACTCTTCGAGAACTATACGAGCCTGTGATTTTACCTATTAGATAAGTCCCACGAATGAGCTATGAAACTTTTAAGATTGGGAAGTAGAGTCTCAGAGCCCAAATCAAACTTCTCCACTTACAGATAAGGCATTCAAGTACAGAAAGAGGAGCTATCCAAGATCACACAGCTACTGTGCAGCAGAACCAGGGCAGGGAGCCCTCCCTGCCTCCTCAGAGTGATGAGCGACTCCCACTGTCACTCGCACAGAGAGAAGAAGCTGTCTGAGACAGGCATGGGTTCTAACCACGCAGGGTCTGGCCTAGACACCCGCAGTGTCAAACTCACCTCCAACGAACAGCTCAATCCCGCCTGCAGCCTTGATCTCCTCTTCAAAGGCGTCACACTCAGCCTGCAGGTCAGCTGCATTCCCATCCAAAATGTGGGTGTTTTCAGGGTGGATGTCAGTGTGCTTGAAGAAGTTGTTCCACATGAAGGAGTGGTAACTCTCTGGGTGGTCTCGAGGAAGACCTGTGGGGCCACGACCACTCTGTCATACCCAGACTGAGCCAGAACTTCCCTCCCAATGAAGAGGCCAGGATATCCCTAGACCTCCAGAGATGCTCTCTGGAGAACGCCAATCAGGGAGCTTTGGGCACCAACCCTCTGACCCTCACCCCCTCAGGATAGGCTGAGCTGATGTCCCTAAGTGTCTACCCACCACCAACACCATCGACTATAGGATTGGGCTAGAGTAGCTACACACCAGAGGCTTGAGGAATCTCCTCATTTTGACCTTTTCACAAGGGAAAGACCATAGGCTGGAGACCAGGGTTACTCTGGGCTTCTGGGGGTGGCCCAGGCACCTGGGGTGAGGCCAGGCCTGTCCGGGAAAGGAAGCAAGCACACCCTCACCCTGTGCCTCCAAACCCCACCATTCACCTCCGTATACCCTGTTCAGCCTGAACCCCAACTTGAACACCAGGTGGTTAGAATTATCTCAGGACTTCCCCAAAGAGATTTTTTTTTCAGCCAAGAAGAAAAAGAATATTTAAAGTGAATATTGAATGTTTAATGTTAAACATTAAGAATATTTTCAGTGAGCCTTAAAAAGGAAGGAAATTCTGACATATGCTGCAACATGAATGAACCTCAAGGACATTGCGTTAAATGAAATAAGCCAAATAATAAAAAGACAAAGTACGCCCTGGCTGGTTTGGCTCAGTGGTTGGAGCGAAGGCCTGTGGACCAATAAGTCGCAGGTTTGATTCCAGTCAAGGGCACGTACCTCAGTTGTGGATCATTCCCGGCCCTGGTTGGGGTCGTGCGGGAGGCAACCAGCAGATGAGTCCCTCTCACTGTCAATGTTTCTCCCTCCCTCCCACTCTATCTGAAGATAAACAGAAAAATATCCTTGGGTCAAGATTAAAAAAAGAGACAAAATACTGTATGATTCACTTATATGATGTACCTAGAGTAGTGAAATTTATAGAACAAGTAAAATGGCGATTGCCAGGGGCTGGGGAGTGGGAGATGGGGACTTGGTGTTTAATGGGGATACAGTTTCAGTTTTGCAAAATGAAAAGATTTGTGGAGATTGGTTGCACAAAAATATGAGTGTGCTCAACACTACTGAACACATATAAAAATGGTTAAGACGATACATTTTATGTTATGTGTATTTTGCTACAATTTAAAAAAAGCACTGGTCAGTATGCTCAGTGGTTAGAGTGTCAGCCTGCACACCACAGGGTGGCGGGTTCGATTTCCGGTCAAAGGCACATACCTAGGTTGCAGGTTCGATGCCCAGCCATTGTCAGGGCACATCGATGTGTCTCTCTCACATTAGTGTTTCTTTCTCTCTCTCTTTCCTCCTCCTCCTCCTCTTTCCTCTCTCCACTCTCCCTTCCACTCTCTCTAAAAGGAAAAAATATCCTCAGGTGAGGATTAACAACAACAATAAAATGTTTAAAGTGAAGCCATTACAGAATTACAAGTGGGGGTGTGGGGGCATTGAAGGAGGTGAAGGAAGACCAAGGTGTAGATTCAGCAGTGGAAAGGACAAACCCACTCTCAGCTCCATGCAGCTGGCAGAAAAGGGAGCTAGAGGATGAACACTGGAGAGAAAGTCCAGACACAGACATGGGGATACACCCAGCCACGATCACGATCCTATTTCCAGTCATGTGTTCTAAAAACAAAGGGCATGGCCCTGGCCGGTTTGGCTCAGCGGTTAGAGCATCAGCCTGCGGTCCGGAGAGACCCGGGTTCGGTTCCCGCTAAGGGCACGTACTTCGGTTGCAGTTTGTCCCCGGCCCTGGTTGGTCGTGCAGGTGGCAGCCACTCGATGTGTCCCTTCACGTCGATGTTTCTCTCTCTCTCTCCCTTCCTCTCTCTCCCTCCCACTCTATCTGTACAAAAAATGGAAAAATATCCTCGGGTGAGGATAAAAAAAACAAACAAACAAAGGGCATGGAGTTGGAGAGGAGGCAAAGGAGAAAATACTATAATATTTACTATGTGCTTGCCCTAAACAAGAGGCTTCCACATGTTATACCATTTAATGCTTACAATCTGCAAAGTCACTTTTATTAGCCCCATTTTAGAGATGAGTAAAGCAAGGCCCGGAAGAGATAGGTATCAGTAATGGAACCTATCACCTAATGTCACTGGTATCCTGACACACCTGAATTCCTTGCCAGGGCTGAACCTGTGAGGGGGAGGAGTATGGACTCTCCTGGAATCAGGTAAGGACTGAAAGGAAAGACTCACCCACGTACTCGTCCATGTTGAAGGTCTTCACATATTTGAAGGACAGGTCTCCATTCTTGTAGTACTCAATTAGCTTCTTGTAGCAGCCAAGTGGGGTGCTCCCTAGAAGAGAGGCCATATCCATGAACGCCCTTCAGTCCCCCATCCCCCACCTGGGCTCTTGCAAGCCCAGAGGGCACCTAGGAATGAGTCAGGGCTGTTTCAGACAAGTCCAGTCTGAAGTCCTACCCAAATGCTGCAATCCTGTCATGCACTGATAGCTCCTTGGCTGCCTATTTCCCCACTAGACTGTAAGCCCAGAGGGGCAGAGCTGTGTCTGTTTTGTCCACTGCTAAATCCCCAGGATGCAGCACACTGATGATTGAAGGGACTGATTAGTACTTGAGTGAACATCAGATTTAATTACTAACATGACACTCCCTGAACAACTACTATGTGCGAGGCAGAGGGGCTCATGATGGGGATGCAGAGGAGTGAGAGACACAGCAGCCACACTGAAGAGCCCACTGTCTCGGAGTGGGGACAAGAAGCAGTAATGTTAGCTGTGACAGGGGTAAGCACAGGCCAGCCTGAGGGTTCAGGAAAGACTTCCCTGAGGAGCAGCAAGCTCCCAGGTTGTCTTATTAACGAGTCAGCCATAAAACATAAAAAAGGCTGGAGGACTGCTAGGGACTAAAAGATTAACGTGAAGCTAAACTGGACATTGGATTCATTTTTCTAAGTTATAAAAGGTAAATGTGGCCCTGGCCGGTGTGGCTCAGCAAATAGAGCATTGGCCCGCACACCAAAGGGTCGTGAGTTCGATTTTCAGTCAAGGGCACGTACCTGGGTTGCAGGTTCAATCCCCAGGCCCAGTTGGGAGGCAACCAGCTGATAGATGTGTCTCTCTCACATCAGTGTTTTCTCTCTCTCTCTCCACCCCCCGCTCCTCTCCCTCCCTCCCTCTCTCCCATTCTCTCTAAAAATCAATGGAAAAAATATCCTTGGATGAGGATTAAACAAAAAACAAAAAAGTAAATGTGGACAATTAGGAAAGAAATTTTCATATAGTCTGTATATTAGATGATATTAGGGAATTATTTTTAATTTTATTAAGTATGATATTAATATGTGGTTATATAAGAGAATGTACTTAACTGAAGAAATAGGTGCTAAAGGATTTAGGTGGTAAAGTGTCAGGATGTCTAGAACTTATTTTCAAGTAATTCAGAAAAAAATTGTGTGTAGATAGAGCATGAGCCAGAAGAGATGAAGGCAAATATGACAAAATATTAATAATTGGTGAATGGTACAGTACTATTCTTTCAGCTTTTCTGAATATTTGAAAAATTTTGAGAAAAAGATGGAAAGAAAAGAGCCCCATCCAAATCAGATCATTCTTTCCACAACCCACCAATGACTTCTCATTTCATTCTGAATAATACCCAGAACTAACAAAGGCTCTACATAACCCAGACCCTGGCTACCTCTCTCTCCCTTACTTTTTCTGCTCCAAGCAATTCAACCTCAGGGCCTTTGCACATTCCCTTTGCCAGCAGTGCTCTTCCTTAAGGTATCTGCATGGGGACCTCTCACCTCTAGGCCTCTACTCAAATTTTTCTCAGACCTTCCCTGCCACCATATTCGACACTGCAACCCCTACCCCTGCCTGGATACTCCCTATCCCCCTTCCTTACTTCATTTTTCTCTTTCCCTCTTGTCACCATCTAACATACTCTATATTTTGCTAATTAACTTGTTTGTTATCTGTCACTCCCACTACAATTTAAGCTTCAGGAAAGCAGAAATTTGTCTTTTTTATCCATTGCTGTATCCCTACCACCTACAACAGCCAGAGCCACACAGCTTCCCTGTTCTTCCCCTGGGCTAGTTCATTTACCATCTAGTCCCTTTTCCAAACCTCTAGCCTTTCCATGAATTCTGTTTGTTGTTGTTGTTGTTAATCCTCACCCAAGGGGCATTTTTTCATTGATTTTTTGATAAGAGTGGAAGGGAGGGAGGAGGAGAAAGAGAGAGAAAAACAGAGAAACATGGATGAGAGAGACACATGAATTGGTTACATCCTGCCCGACCCTGACCAGGGCTAGGGATTGAACCTGTAACCCTTTAGTCCAAGGGCTGACACTCTAACCACTGAGCCAAACTGGCCAGCGCCTTCTCATCAATTCTGTAAGCTCCCCAATATCTAGTTAATAAATTCCTTTTCTGTTTAAGTTAGCCAGAGTTGGTTTCTCTGGTCTCCACCCAGAACCTTGCCTGGTGCTTCATCTAACAGAAGGAATGTTCCAAGGAACCTATATTGAATTGTGCCGGTTCAAGTGTGACCGGGGCCACACTTGAAAGGGGCCAGGATCCATGGAAGGTCCTGAATGCCACTCTGAGGAGTATGGATCTGATTCTGCAGCTCATAGGGAACTAGTGAGGGTTTCAGAAGTCCAGGCTCTGGCCCAGTTAGAAACCAGGATGCTGGTGCAGCCCCCACATGGCCTGAGGCATTGGTGGTTTCACAGGTACTGGGAGACACTGCTCCCACAGATCTCCAGTGCTGGGGTCCCATAGACCTCCCATGCTGACGTTGGCAAACTTTAGCCTACAGGCCAAATCTAGCCTGCTATTTATGTACCGCTCATGAGCTAAGAAGAGTTTTTACATGTTTTAGGTTTTTGAAAATCAAAAGAATATTATTTTGTGACATGAAAATTATATAAACTCAAACTTCAATGTCCATAAATAGAATTTTATTGCTGTTCCTTCATTTATATATTGTCTATGGCTGCTTGTGAGCAACATGGACACAGTTAAGTAGCTGCAATAGGCTGTATGGCCAGTAAAATGCAAAATATTTACTATTTGACCACTTACAGAAAAAACTGAAGACCCTTGCTCTAGTGGATGGGCCTTTGGGACAAATCCGCCCCACTTCTGAAATAATCAGGACAGCCCTGGCCAGTTTGGCTCAGCAGTTGAGCGTCGGCCTGCGGACCAGAGAGTCCCAGGTTCAGTTCCCTCTAGGGGCACATACCACACACACACACACACACAGCCTTGAAATAATCAGGACATTTGTTTTGAGAAGCTGGGGTCAAAATATCTTCCTATTAGGGCAACATTCTAAAGTTTTGCAAAGAGACTGGGACTGTTTTGCTTTAAGTGACTATCTTCTCAATTCTCCCAAGGATGGCAGAACTAGCTAGTAGCACTCCAGATGCACAGAAGAGAAATTCACTCATTACATGAAATGTATGCCTTCAGGCACTGGGACTTAATCCTGCTAAGGAACCCATGTCTGACAAAACTGATTTAGGATGTAGCCAAAAATCAAGTTCTTTCTGCTCCAGGAGTCTTCAGAAGCAGGCAGCAACTCAACCAACCCTAAAGGAAGCTGGGTCCTCTGTTTTGTATGTCCAGGAGGCAGGGGAGTTGTTCCCTCATAGCACCGGTACCTCGGAGCCCTCCTTAAAGTCCCTTGGCTGAGTGAGCCCACCTGCCTAGCCCCCTAAAATCCCCTGATCCGCCTCCCAATCCATGACATCCTTTCCATCACACAACGCACCAGTGGGGAGCCCCAAGGTGAAGTACTTGTCTGGTCCCGGGTTAAACTGGATGATGCGGTTCCTGATGTATTTGGCGGCCCACTCGCTGGCCTGAGAATAGTGGTCTAGGATGATGAGCTTCATCTTGTCCTGCAGGTGGCAGGTGACAAAAGGACTCAATGGTAAGGGGCAGGGAGAAAGGGATGCAGATGGTTGGGGTAGGGGAGAAGCCCCCTCTCACCAGGCAGCACACTCTCCCCAGGCTGTCTGAGTCAGGAAGAGGAAAGCCATCGTTTTCAGTTCGCAGAGGAACTGACAGCTGGGCCAATGCCTCCACCAACCAGCAGGAGGAGCCGCTCTGGCACAGACCTGGGTTCTAATCTGGATTCCTTCATTCACCTACTGCAGGATTTTGGTCTAAGGACCCAAGTTTTCTGAGCCTGTTTTTTCTTATGTGAAAATGGGGACAAAAGTACCTACCCGATAAATTTCACTATGGTGAATATTAAATGAGAGAATGCATGTAACCACAGTATTCAATATGTTAGCTATGATCTAGTAGTTTGAACCCCCCCGCCCCTATTCCCCCCCACCTCTGGATATTCTCTACCCACGGGCTCCTCAATAACTAGAGGGGCCACGGGTTCACCTTGGGCCACCACGGCAGGTGGGGCCGTGGGCTCTGCTGAAGTAGGGGTGCTCCCACCCGCCGGCCTTGCTTGTGGGTCTTCAGTTTCCTCCAAATCACACGGGGAAACGTAATCGCTCCAGAGGAGAGCATTTGCTCCCCGCAGGGCGCTCGCCGTGGGAAGGCCCGGGGCGGAAGTGACCCAGTCCGCCGTCGGCGGGGTACAGGAGCGCGTCCCCACCCGAGGGCGATCGCAGCTCCTCCGGCGGGCTCGGGAGGCAGTCCGAGCGCCCTGGCGTCCCGGCTTCCGGCGTCTCAGGGTAGGGAGCCCCGCCCGCCCCGCTCCTGCCCACCCCGCCCCAACCGCTGCTCGCGAGGAGGGTCCTCGGCAGCCCCGCTCCCCACTTACGCCGACACCTCCCGCTGCGGCTGCAGCAACGGCGCTGGCGGCCCGGCCCGCGCGGGTCACATGGCCGCGGGTCACGCGGCGCCGGGCACAGCCCACCGTGCAGACTCCGCTGGGCGGGCCCAGCGGGGCGGCACCTCGCGGGCCGACTCCCGGCCCCTGGGGGCCACCCACCCTCTGTCTTGTGCAGCCCTGGGGCTTGCGGCCCAGCACAGCCCGCGGGAGGCGGGGCTTGTTTTGTGCGGGAGCGGGGGAGACTTGGAGGCTCAGGTCGCCCCCAGGAATGTTGTCCCAGGGCCCTGGGGCTGGGGCTAGGTTTTCGTGCTGGGGGGTGGGGTTGGGCTTGGCTTTGCTTTCAGTGTCTTTGGGTTTTGTGTGTGTGTTTTTAGATGTCTCTTACCTAGATATTCAATTACTATGTTGTTTTAAATATAATTGGTTCTTTTCTGCCTTTTTTTTTTTTTTTAAACCCCAACCCATACTAGAGAAAAAGGTAGGTCCCTGGTCTCCCTACCAGTCTAAACTGTTTTTCCTTGAATATACTTACATTACATTTTTCAGAAATGGGAGCACACCACCCGAGCCATCCATGATCAGCAAGGTGGCCACATTCTCCAGTTCCTGGTGGAGAGCCCCTAATCTGGTGAGACCCCGATGAGACAGAGCGGTGGAGCTAATCCGCTTACAGTTGGAGGGACTTGTTCTTTGTTGGTATAATTTTTGGGGGTTGTTTTTTGTTTAGAGAGAAAAAGGAGGGGAGGGAGAGAAACATCAATTTGTTGTTCCACTTATTTATGCTTTCATTGGTTGATTCTTGTATGTGCCCTGGACCAGAGATCGAACCTGAAACCTTGGCCTATCAGGCTGATGCTCTAATCAACTGAGCTACCCAGCTGAGGCCTTGGTATAGTTTGTTTTCACTCAAGACAGAAATTTCATCTCAGCATGAGGATTGCAGATGTTTCACAGTGAGATTCCAACTCCAATCTTCAAACACATCAGATAACAGGGCCTGGTAAGCAGCAGCTGCTGTCAGATCTTTCCAGGAAGAGTGATTTAATAGGGCCTGTTTCCTTTCTGTAGGAAACCTGGAAGCTCTGGAGTCAGACAGCCTCGGGACTAAACAGAAAGACCTGGGTAAACATTCTGGACTAGCTAATCTCTACTTCTTGAGTGAGTGACTCAAGCAAATGACTCAGCTTCTCCAGCTCTCAGTGTTCTTATCTGGAACATGGGAATTTAGTAAAACTGACCTCATGTGGCTGTTGTGAGTATTAAATGAAATATTGGCATAGCTTGGCATTCATGGCTAGCCATGATTACCCCTTATTTCACCTTACTGCCCTTACAGCCCGTTCTCAAACCCTGAAATGCTCTCTACCCTGATCCCCTTCACACCCCTCCCCCTCCATGCCTGGGTTTAAACTATTACCCACACCCATCCTCCCATTCCCTTGTTTTAGAACTAAATGTGACTGACTAATTCAAAGAATTATGAGTTCATCCTTACCGTGGAACTGTTTGTTACCAGAAAGGGGACCTGGCCCTGAGCAGGTCTGCCTAGGGCCAGCTGGTAGTGGGCCGGCTCTTGACTTCTGCCCTTCAATTTACCTCCATCTTCTCTCTTTTTTTTATAGTCTATTTCTCTCAATCCTTTTCAATGCAGATGCCTTGGTTTGACTTCTCTGTTGTCTCATCCTCTCTCTCATCTCAAAAACTCAGACATGAAACTGCCCAAAACTGACTTCTTAGAGAGCAGATGAAAGGGGAGAAGCTGAGAAGGCAAAGGCAAATTCCTTTTTTCTTTTTCAAGATTTTTAAAAAATATATTTTTTATTGATTTTTAGAGAGAGAGGAAGGGAGAGGGAGAGAGAGAGAGAGAAACATTGATGAGAGAACATTGATTGGACGCCTACTGCACGTCTCCCACTGGGGATCTGGCCCACAACCTGGGCATGTGCCCTGACCCCGGAACTGAACCAGTGACCTCTTGGGTCGATGCTCAACCAGTGAGCCATACCAGCTGGGCTTTTTCAAGATTTTTAATTGTGGTAAAAAAATAAATAACATAAGGCTTACTGTCTTAACCATTTTAAAATGTACAGTTCAGTAAAGTGAAGTACCATTCACATTGTTGTGCAACCAATCTCCAGAAATTTCATCTTGAAAAGTTGAAATTCTATACCCATTGAACATTTCCTCCTTACCCCAACCCTTGGCAACCACCACTCTTCTTTCTCTGTGAATTTGATTACTCTAGGTACCTCCCATATGTGGAATCATATAGTAGCTGACTTTTTGAGACTGGCTTATTTCATTTAGCATAATCTCAAGGTTCATCCTTCCTTTTAAAGGCTGGAAATTATTTCATTATATGTATATGGCACATTTTGTTTATCTGTTTATCTGTCCTTGGACACTTGTGTTGCTTACACCTCTTGGCTATTGCAGAATTCCTTTTAAAGGGGGGGAAATGGCCCGGCCAGTATGGTTTGATGGATTGAGCGTTAGGGCAGATGCCTGGGTTGTTGGCTCAATCCCCAGTAGGGGGCATGCAGGAGACAGCCGATCATTGTTTCTCTCTCATCGATGTTGCTGTCTCTCCAAAAAAAAAAAAAGAATAAAAACATATTTTAAAAAAGGGGTAAGGGGATGAGGACAAAATTAGTAATTTTAGGGTCCTTCACAAGAGAAAGACAATATAATAAACCGCACAATTGTGTGGTTCAAACATTAAACGGGAAAGCAGATCAGAGCCTGCAGATAGTCACATAGAGCAGAACAGGACAGATGCAGGTGGCCCGTGCAGGAATGGACTCCAGAGCCACGCTATCTGGCTGTGAATCCTAGCTCTATCATTTACTGATTGGGTAACTTCTGGTAAGTCAATTTCTTTGTGCCCAGACTGCTTCATCCATAAAAAAAGGAAACATAATATCTCCCTTAAACTATGTACTATACTGCCCGGCCAGTGTGGCTCAGTGGTTGAGCTTTGACCCGTGCACCAAGAGGTCACCAGTTCGATTCCCAGTCAGGGCACATGCCCAGGTTGTGGGCCCGATCCCCAGTAGGGGGCATGCAGGAGGCGGCCAATCAATGTTATCTCTCATAGATGTTTCTATCTCTGTCTCTAAAAATTAATAAAGGGGAAAAAAAACAGCTATGTACTATACCAAGAGTAATTACCTTGGGAAGGAATAGATGACTTAATACATGTAAGGCACTTAGAGTAGTGCCTGCACAGTTACCCCTTACTAAGGGTCATTATTACTAGGGTTTTGAGATGGACCTTGAAAGAGAATTAGGATTTGGTCATTGAAGAGAAGGAAGGAGGCATTACAGACAGATGATCAAAGGTATGGAGGCACAGAGGCTGAAGGAGTAGTTTCCAGATCTAAGAAATAAAAACATACGGTACCCAGTTAAATTAGAAGTAGTTCTATTTTTATTTTATTGTTGAAAATATTACAGATGTCCACCCCTTTTCTTTTGTATTTCTATTTTTTATTGTTGTTAATCCTCACCCAAGGATATTTTTTCCACTGATTTTTTTTTTTTTTTTTTTAGAGATTGGAAGGGAGAGGGGGGAGAGAAAGAGAGAGAGAGAGACAACAATGTGAGAGAGACACATTAACTGGTTGCCTCCCACATGCACCTCGACTAGGGCCAGGGATCAAACCAGGTTAATTAAACCAGCGGCCCTTTGGTGCACAGGCCGCCTCTAACCACTGAACCACACCAGCCAGGGCAGAAGTATTTCTAATTGCCTATGCATATGTACTTTGAGATAAAAGAAGAATATATGTGAGATATACTTACTCTAAAAATGTATTTGCTGTTTATCTGAAATAAATTATAAGTATCTAAATTACAGACCTCTTTCTGTATATTTCCCTGGTGATTTGGTTCTCCTTAATAGTTCCTTATTTTGTAAAATTTTCTTTTAAAATTCTTCCAAGTTACAGTATATGTTCATTTACATTTTAACATTATTGCTGCAGTGGTCACATCTAACTTATTTGATCCTTGACCATTAATAAGAAATCGTGGTCAGCATTAGCATTATGAGCCAGTATACAGAACATGTACTGGCATGAAGTTAACATCTCTGAGACTTGCTCTTCAAATCTGATTGGCTGAAACACATAATACCATCTTTCATAGTATAACTCACTTTTCCACTCTTTAGAATTACATTGCATTTCTTGATCAACAACTTTTTTAAATGTCCACTAACAACAACAAAAAAGTAGTCATCAATTTTTATTCCTTTTTTCTTCAGTGCTACACATGATGATTCCACTTGTTCCTGTGCTGAAAAAGGACTTAGTAACATCCATGTAAAATAATCGAATTTTTCAATGGATGAAATCCATTTCAAAAGAGAGTCATAAGCAAGTGGTACAGTAATTATACTCTTTGGCCTGTAATTTATTTGTCTGTTTATACATAATGTTGTCCCTTTTAAGTACAGCTTTGCTAATAAAAGGGATAAATATTTTTTAAATATCTTTTTCCATTGATTTTTTTTTTTTTTTTTTTAGAGTGAGAGGGAGAAAGAGATAGAAACATCAATAAGAGAGAACATTGATTGGCGCCTCCTGCATGCCCCCCACTGGGGATTGGGCCCACAACCTGGGCATGTGCCCTGTCCGGGAATCGAACCGTCCACCTCTTGGTGCATGGGTCAAACCTCAACCACTGAGCCACACTGGCCGGACTTCCATTGATTTTTTTATTTACTTTTTTTTAAAGAGAGTGGAAGGAAGGGAGGTAGAGAGAGAGCGAAACATCGATGTTGAGATGTTTGGTTGCCTCCCGCATAGCCCTTGTCAGGGCCTGGAAACCTGCAACCTAGGCACATGCCCTTTACCAGAACTGAACCTTCGATCCTTGGGGCTGAGGGCCGATGCTCTAACTGCTGAGCCAAACCAGCCAGGGCAAAGGGATAAACTTTTTAATTAATTCTTTAACATATTCAACAAATCCTTTAAGCAATGAAATACTTCAACGACACTGTTTTTCTTTCATTTGGC